TAATGTAATAGTATGTCCCAAAACTTGACTGGCAATAAAGCCAGTGCATCGCGAAAGGACATGCGAATTACTTAAAAAATTTACACATCATTTAGGCCTATTTACCATATACTTCCATTGGTAGCAGTCTACGGCCCAAAAGGTTGTGCATGGTCGCAAGATATGGTCACCGCCACAGCAGTAACAGGCGCATCTAGGACGCATAATGTCCTCCTGTGCACTGTGCACGCGCTTTGCTCGGGATGGTAGATCCTGGGCCAGGATGGGAGTCGTTTTCCAAAATCTTTTAAGACGGAACGGTGGTACCGCTTCCTTGATTGTGCTCCCAAGAGTTGTGGGTCTCCTTGGGTAACTTAGATGCTACGTAATGCGCCAACCGATGGTGCGATTCCCCGACCAAGGCTTGAAACATTGACCGTGCTTAGCATCGACCGTATTAAATCAGTATTATTATTTTGCAGCCTGGGCAATGCGTAGATGGCGTTCATCTGGAGTGTGAAAACGAGGCGAGAATTATTGTACCTCTTGATCATCATTCCCTAAGCCACTTCGTAATTTCCCTCCGTGAGCTGCATTTGACAGATGCCTTTGTCGCGATTTACTTGCAACGACTGTTTGAGAAAGTGCAACTTCTGAACACTACACAAATTATTTTTATTGTGTATAAGGCTTGTAATGTTAATTCCCGTAAAGTAAGTTCCCAGGCAAAGCAAACACCAATTTGATAAATTTACAAAACGTTAAATTATTCTATTTGTGATCGGGTTAATATATGTATATATTTTCGTATAGGGCGTTTCGCGTTAGATCAGCCTCTTCTCCGTTTTCTCTCTCTCATGAAAAGGGTCGGATACTCATCATAAAAAGCAATACCAATATTGTAGATCAACTAGCACGTCTTAATCAAAAAGTCAAGTGCATAGTAAAAGTAAGTCAGTGATTCGAAATTTCAAAGTTTTTTTTAGACTTGTACTATCATTGTTTCTTAGCATACACATATCTCATCCTAATAAAAATCATTAAAAAATAAATTTATAAAATCTGTTTGATCAAATTGTGAACTGAAAAAAAAAATTGATCTAAGAAGACTCTCAGATCGGAGTAACAACGAGTATCCTTGCTCGCTCGAAAGTCCGTGTCGCCGCTCGTATGGGCATTTCATCTACTCCAGTAAACACTTTCTCCACGATGCCTCGTTTCCACTCTCGGCGTGGTATGGCCGAATATCAGATGAACACCTCGAAAGCTCGACCACTGCTCACCCTCGATGTTCTTTAGCTCGAAAACCTCGTTGAATCTTGGGCCCTCTCGATTGGGCTCCAACGAAATATTTCCCATCACTTTTTATCTTGACCACCAGTCCTCGTCGGTTCTAGAAGTTCCTAATAGCCTCGATGAAGGAATCATAGCCATCTCCAACTGAATGGCCTTCGTAATTGAAGAGGTCAACAATGACACCGCCCTTTTTTCAATGCGAAGTCCAATCGTCACGTGCAACTAACAAAACGAACAAACAAAAATAATCCTGTGTACTTGAATGCTTATTCGTTGGCTTCCAGTCGGTCCTCTGGCAAGGTGGCACACATACACCCCTTACATGCATGACTCTTTCGTCGTTAAAGTCCGGGGACAACCTTCGCAGTTGACGTCCTTCATTCGGGATCTTTATGGCCTTGTCTTGGCTATCCCGAAAGAACCCTTCAACACTGCACCCGCAGGATTAGTACACGAATTGTGTCGATGGTCCGGAACAGGCTGTCTTCTGTTTGGGTTTTTGGTTGGTAAATTCAATTTGTATTTTAATAAACATGATCTGCCTTCTTTTGGTGTCGTTATAAGACTGATTTTTATTCTCGCTAATTTTAGAGTGGGGTACTTATGCTGTGTTTGCGAAATAGCGTAGGTCAGCGTTTTCGGCCGATTGTCTGTGGCCCAGTTGTTTACAAGATTCAGCTTTGGGATTCCTCTGCGTCGACTGTTCGATGTCCGTGTTGAACGGCACCGCCGTTAGTGGGTCATTGTCCGAGGGGGTTTGGGTGGAGGTGATGTCATCTGCAAGACATCAGCGGTAACTTGCGCTCTGATTTGCTTTGTCCATACTTCTCACTGTTACTGGCCTCCACTTGACTCTGGATCAGTTGCTCCATTAGCTGTGATTAAACTGTAGCCCTCGCTTCACCATTCAGCGTTTTCACTAACCTTTGATTTTTATACCCGTTACTCGTAGAGTAAAAGGGTATACTAGATTCGTTGAAAAGTATGTAACAGATAGAAGGAAGCGTTTCCGACCCTATAAAGTATATATATTCTTAATCATTAGCAAAGTCGATTGAGTCATGTCCGTCTGTCCGTCTGTCCGTCTGTCCGTCTGTCCGTCTGTCCGTCCGTCCATCCGCCTGACCGTCCGTCGATTTAATGCTGAGATCTTAGGAACTATAGCAGATACAAAGTTGAGATTAAGCATGAAGATTCTTGAGATCCCGGGACAGCGAAAGTTTATTTCAGCATCCTGCCACGCCCACTCTAACGCCCACAAATCGCGAAGAACTAAAATCGCTGAAATCTCGGGAACTGTTAGAGCTAGAAAGTGTAGAGCTAGAAATTCAGTATGTATAAACTTTGGATGCCAGCGCATCTTTTAGTGGTACTATTATCTGGCCACACGCATTCGCATTTTCAAGACAACCTGATATCTCGGTAACTAAAAGTGTAGTAGAAAGTTCGGATTAAGCATGTAGATTTTTATGATGCCCCAATTGCGAATTGTTTTATTTTTCATCTAGCCACGCCCACCCTAACGCCCACAAAACCCGAAAAACCAAAATTGCAAAAATCTCCGAAACTAAAGGAGCTAAAAAGTTAGGCCTAACAATACGTATTTTAGGGTTGCCACTGCCACTTCCAACGAGTTTCCAACGAGTCCGGCCACGCCCACTCTAACGCTCACAAACCGCGGAACACTGTGGCGTCTATAATAATATTATGAATGCCTTCGTTTGGCCTTGTATAACTTATTTATGTTAATATCTATCGATTTACCAACGATTTTTCAAATCGGAACATTTTTCGCTACTTATGAAGAAATTTAGGTTATAAGGCAGTGACGTCACTATCAGTTACTCGACATGCTTTCTCCGACAATAGGTTGCGCTTGGGTAATTTCCACTAGCAAAATGAATATTTTAAAATTGTGTAAAACAGTAACGGGTATCTTATAGTCGCGGCACTCGACTATAGCGATACTCTCTTGTTTTTCTAGTGCTCAACGCCTATGCTCTAAGAGCTCATTCGCTTTCGAAAATGCATTTAGCGCTCGCGGCGATATTACACTAACCATTTTTAATCTTCCAACAGCAATAAAATTTATTTTTGTTTTTTTCTGGAACTTCCCCGAACACTTGCAGTGGGATTCATTCATTAAGGTTAGTGATGAATGTGTTATTGCACAGCTCAAGCCAAAACAAAAATTCAATAAATATGTGAACGCTTCCCTGTATTTTTTTTAGTAAATGCTCTGCCGTAAGGTGATTTTGAGCACCTCTAATGTACACTGATAGACTGGTTCAGTGTACTCTCCAATGGATATTACCTTTTCGAGGTCGGTCTTGGCCCGGTTTTCGCGGAAGAATTTTTTTTTGGTCTCTTTTTCATGTTGGTCTCACACAGGCATTTTTTTAAGAACTTTGTCAATGTGCCTTACATAGTCGGCAGCATTTTCGAAAAACATTACCAAGTCGTCTACATAGACATAACAAGTTCTTCTTATTTGTTCGCGGAGAACGATACTTTCCTTCGTTCACGGATAAAGCTCTTTGCTCACGGTCTTTTTTGCCAAAATAAATCTGGAAGTACCATGATGGTATAATTCAAGGGTGGTAATAATTGTTGCCTTTTCTAAGCTAGCTAGAATCATAGGAATGCTTGGCATAGGATAACGATCGGATGTCGTTTGCTCATTCAGTTTTCTGAAGTCGATAACCGTCGGCATCAGACCCTTTTTTGTCAACAACCCACGTTTGAATGTTAAATGGCGACCTGAGAGGTCTGATAAAGCCATCCTTAACCATTTGATTTCTGTATTAATGGGGTGTAGCTTTGAATATATGGGTTCGATACTCTCATTACGAATAGTGGCAATAACTGAGGTGATAAACGGAAGCGCCTTGTTAAGGCGCGAAAGAACTTGTTCCCTCTTAAGGATCATTTTCTTAAATTCCTCGAGATCGGGACTAGAAGGTCATCGATATTTGTGCTGTTCATATTATCGCATTTGTGATGTTTACGTTGTTCAGATACGTTTCGATATCTGATTACGCTGTTACGTTCGCCCCAGGTTGAAACCTACTTTGCCATCAAACGTATTAAGGGCATCAAGTAGCAGTGTTGCCATTTAAGCTTATTATAAGATTGTTCTATTTGAAATTGGAAAAGCTTGTAAGATTTGCATTTCACTTATAGCTTGAAATATAGCTTACTTTACATTTTATCTAGCATATTCTATCTTTAAATATATTTGCGACATCAACGGAAAAATATGCTTTATGCCATGAAAATGACGAAGCTTGTTCTCTTTTGCCGATGATTTTGTGCGTTTCATATGATCGTGAATTTATTTCAAATCGATAGTGTCATCGAAGATCGATATGTTTGCTGAAGTTTTTCCACCAACCTCTTGGAGCTGTGAAATACTTCTTTTTAATTTCTCAGATACGGATTGAGCAGGCATGGGAAATGTTGACGTAGGTACACCTTGCCAGGAAAATATATAATTCTCATAAAAAAAGGAAAAATATTTAAATGACGATAAAGATGCTTTTCATATATATAGTGACATATCTGTAACCTCGTCACCTCCACGTTAAACATAAGTAAGGAATGGATAAATTATATTTGTAAGCTTAATCAAGAGTGGAAATTTCCTATACTTATTTGTAAACTTAATCAAGAGTTGAAATTATCCATACATATATGTTAAGCCAATCGACAGTGGAAAATTCTAAAGTAAACTTTCCCAGACTTTCAAAATAAACACAGAGAGATCGCAGTGCCCAAATTCTTTCCCATACTGCAGATCGAAAACAAAACAGTCTTATTACCAGACTCTAGCTTAGACTAAACATTCAAAACAAAATGTTCCACAACCGATTAAAGCCAGAGTAGGAGTCGTGCTAAGGACATTTAGAAAGAGCAATCTTGTATTCAAGGGAAATGAACTTGAATACAAGAGAATTAAGCTTAGCTTTGAGAAAGTTCTCTCAGAGAACATAAGAAATGTGAAAGCCCAAAACCAAGGCTTCATTAAAAATTAAAACATAAAATCAAATCAGTTCTTGACAGTTCACAGAATAGTGAAGTTTAGTTTAAAACTCAGAGTTCAGCTTGAGACATACTACTTGTTCGTAATATGTCAGTGAGTTCAACTTAAAATAGTGTGTAAAATAGTGGTATAATAGAGAAATAGTGTTTTTTTATTCAGATTCCTTATACGAAATATGTTATTGGCGCAGTCGGTAGGATTTCAATAAAATTCGGTAATGGTCAGAACTGGACTACTAAACAACTAGTATCCTTGACCGGCGAAGTGTAAACTTGAGATCCGCAAAAGAATCGCGATCCTTAATCGCAGAACCGTGACAAAACGTAGTCGCAGACCCTAATCCCAGAACCGTGAACCGCAATCGCAGACATTCACTAAAATTTTAAAATACAAAAACATTTTATTTCATTTACAAGTGAAAGAAAACCCAACAAAGACATTTACTTAAAATTCTACAAGTAAACAAAATTTTACAAGTGAAATAAATGAAAAAATGCGCAGAAAACCCATTCTAAAATTTTACAAGTGAACAAAAATTCCACAAGTGATATGAATGAAATACCTAGCAAAGACATTTAACAAAATCTTACAAGTGAATAAAATTTTACAAATAAAATAAATGAAACCCATTCACAATTTTATAAAACTCAACAAAGTAATTCAAAATTAATAAAGTAAATTTTACAAAGAACCAAAACCCATTTTTGTAAAATAAAAAACATTCAAAAGAAAAACTAAAAACTTTGTGAAAAAATAAAAACCAACATAAAAGATGACTTCACCACAACTACTATCGGAGATTCATCTGAATCAATTATTAAGTCAACTGAAGGAGCTACAATATTTTGATGGGACTCCAGGTAGACTATTCGAGTGCATCAATCAAGTGGAGTACTTATTGCAACTTTACCCAACACCAGACGCGAGACGAGCCCACATCATATTCGGAGCAATTAGAAGACTAGTAGTGGACTCAGCACAGGAAACAGTGGCACAAGCGGGAGCAAGCAACTGGCCATCTATGAAGCATCTATGGAGCACTATCCACATCATTTAAGGATCACCGCCTCTATGAAACATTTATAAAACATCTTGGAAACACCGAATATCGTGGAAGTACCAGTAAGTTCATAGAAACCAGAGCAAAAGATCTGTGACATAAGAGGGGCACAGAGGAGAGAGATTTTATGCAGAATAGAGCGTAATACTCTGGATTGTATGTGAGTATCCTGCTACAATGTTGTTTTGATGATAAATGAATTGGCAACCAGATGTACTTTAAAAGTTGTAAAAAGATGGTCGTTGATGGGTATCCAAGTGGTTGGGTTTGTACGAAAGAGAGCTTGTACTCCAGAGAATTTGAGAAGTGTTATCCCGTCAAACTAATGCGTAAAGGCACAAGAGGTGCATTTAAAATTGTCTTCAAGAGTAAATAGGATATGTAATTATAAGAATTTGAGAAGTGTTATCCCGTCAAACTAATTAAAGGCACAAGTGCCTTGAATTTATCTTGAACAGTAAAAATGATATGTAATTATAAGAGTAAAGAGGATCATAAATAAAGAGATTGGTAACCAAGTTTCACGACATATTTTGTATTGGGCAGAGCAACACAAGGACGTGTTATAGTCAGAAAGGCCGTGTCGGAAATAGGTATAATAATGAGCAAAGTCGATGCAGGAACAAAGGGAAAGGGGGAATGTTCCTTGTAAATGAGGAACTGCGAGTAGATTTCAATAGGGCTAGAGAGGAATCTAAGGAAAGTATGAATAAGAACACTCAGTATGATAAGGCTAGAATAGATAAAAAGCATGCTCATGTCGTAAGGCATGAAAATGGCGATCTTGTTTTATTGAAAAACGTAGAGCGGCACCAAACGAAGTTGGATCCAACACTTAAGGGACCATTTGAAATTGTCCAAGTGCTATATAGTGACCGATACTTGTTCAAATCATTGACAGCTAGGCGAGTGTATAAATATCTACATGATAGTGTGCGTAGTGTACCCAAGGTTCGAGAGATTTTGAAATTGGCGGAAGAGCGTGACGACGGCAAGAGAGTCGTGCGTGCAAGCAAAAGATTATTGACCTTGAGCGGAAGAGAGCGTGTACTTTAAAAGTTGTAAAAGGATCGTCGTTGATGGGTATCCAAGTGGTTGGGTTTGTACGAAAGAGAGCTTGAACTCTAGAGAATTTGAGTAGTGTTATTCCGTCAAACTAATTAAAGGCACAAGTGCCTTGAATTTATCTTGAACAGTAAAAATGATATGTAATTATAAGAGTAAAGAGGAGCATTAATAAAGAGATCGGTAACCAAGTTTCACGACAAATCTTGTACTGGGCAGAGCAACACAAGGTCGTGTTATAGTCAGGAAGACCGTGTCGGAGATAGGTTTAATAATGAGCAAAGTCGAAGCAGGCACAAAGGGAAAGTGGGAAGAACAGTTGGACTATACTTCGCTTTCCCTTTGGAGCGAGTGTGAGGCGGCTCTGGATAAGCTATAGCAGCACAAGGTCGTTGAAGAGGCTTCCAAGCCCAAAAATGTTCAGCCTAGCAATACGTTCCCGAAGAAGAGTGGAAATAAAAGTTTTCGTAGGTCTTTCTTTTTTTTCTTTAACATAGTAAATAGTAAATAAAATTGACCTCCGTGTAGTAGCGACGGGTATCAGTAGAGCAAATGGTCAGGTGGAGCGTGTCATGAGTGTGCTAAAGAGCATCCTGACGGCTCTGGGACGAGCGAACGATCATGGCAGGAGGCATTGGGCGAAGTAGAATTGGCAATAAATTGTACCATGAACCGAGTAACTAAGCATAGTGCCTCATAGTTGATGATTGGCAAAGAAGCGAGGCCCTTGGGAATGCTCCCTGTAAATGAGGAAGTGCGAGTAGATTTCAATAGGGCTAGAAAGGAATCTAAGGAAAGTATGAAGAAGAACACTCAGCATGTAGTAAGGCATGAAAATGACGATCTTGTTTTATTGAAAAACGAAAAGCGACACCAAACGAAGTTGGATCCAACATTTAGATGGTGACCGATACTTGTTAAAATCATTAACAGTTGGACGAGTGTATAAATATCAACATGATAGTGTGCGTAGTGTACCTAAGGTTCGAGAGATTTTGAAGTTGGCGGAAGAGCTTGACGACGGCAAGGGTCGTCAGCTAGACGAGTGTATAAATATCTACATAATAGTGTGCGTAGTGTACCTAAGGATCGAGAGATTTTGAAATTGGCGAAAGAACTTGACGACGGCAAGAGAGTCGTGCGTGCATGCAAAATATCTGTGACCTAAGAGGGGCGCAGAGGAGAGAGATTTTATGCAGAAAAGAGCGTACTACTCTGGATTGTATGTGAGTAGCGTGCTAAAATGTTGTTTTGATGATAAATGAATTGGCAACAAGATGATTGAGCTTGAGCGGAAGAGAGTCTGTATTTTAAAAGTTGTAAAAAGAGGGAGTTATCCTGCTAAGCTAATTTTTGATGGGTATCCAAGTGGTTGGGTTTGTACGAAAGAGAGTTTGTACTCTAGAGAATTTGAGAAGTGTTATCCCGTCAAACTAACGCGTAAAGGCACAATGGGTGCACTTGAATTTGTCTTCAAGAGTAAATAGGATATGTAATTATAAGAGTAAAGAGGATCATAAATAAAGAGATTGGTAACCAAGTTTCACGACATATTTTGTATTGGGCAGAGCAACACAAGGACGTGTTATAGTCAGAAAGGCCGTGTCGGAAATAGGTATAATAATGAGCAAAGTCGATGCAGAGGAACAAAGGGAAAAGGGGGAATGTTCCTTGTAAATGAGGAACTGCGAGTAGATTTCAATAGGGCTAGAGAGGAATCTAAGGAAAGTATGAATAAGAACACTCAGTATGATAAGGCTAGAATAGATAAAAAGCATGCTCATGTCGTAAGGCATGAAAATGGCGATCTTGTTTTATTGAAAAACGTAGAGCGGCACCAAACGAAGTTGGATCCAACACTTAAGGGACCATTTGAAATTGTCCAAGTGCTATATAGTGACCGATACTTGTTCAAATCATTGACAGCTAGGCGAGTGTATAAATATCTACATGATAGTGTGCGTAGTGTACCCAAGGTTCGAGAGATTTTGAAATTGGCGGAAGAGCGTGACGACGGCAAGAGAGTCGTGCGTGCAAGCAAAAAGATTATTGACCTTGAGCGGAAGAGAGCGTGTACTTTAAAAGTTGTAAAAGGATCGTCGTTGATGGGTATCCAAGTGGTTGGGTTTGTACGAAAGAGAGCTTGAACTCTAGAGAATTTGAGTAGTGTTATTCCGTCAAACTAATTAAAGGCACAAGTGCCTTGAATTTATCTTGAACAGTAAAAATGATATGTAATTATAAGAGTAAAGAGGAGCATTAATAAAGAGATCGGTAACCAAGTTTCACGACAAATCTTGTACTGGGCAGAGCAACACAAGGTCGTGTTATAGTCAGGAAGACCGTGTCGGAGATAGGTTTAATAATGAGCAAAGTCGAGAAAGCAGGAACAAAGGGAAAGTGGGAAGAACAGTTGGACTATACTTCGCTTTCCCTTTGGAGCGAGTGTGAGGCGGCTCTGGATAAGCTTTATAGCAGCACAAGGTCGTTGAAGAGGCTTCCAAGCCCAAAAATGTTCAGCCTAGCAATACGTTCCCCGAAGAAGAGTGGAAATAAAAGTTTTCGTAGGTCTTTCTTTTTTTCTTTAACATAGTAAATAGTAAATAAAATTGACCTCCGTGTAGTAGCGACGGGTATCAGTAGAGCAAATGGTCAGGTGGAGCGTGTCATGAGTGTGCTAAAGAGCATCCTGACGGCTCTGGGACGAGCGAACGATCATGGCAGGAGGCATTGGGCGAAGTACAATTGGCAATAAATTGTACCATGAACCGAGTAACTAAGCATAGTGCCTCATAGTTGATGATTGGCAAAGAAGCGAGGCCCTTGGGAATGCTCCCTGTAAATGAGGAAGTGCGAGTAGATTTCAATAGGGCTAGAAAGGAATCTAAGGAAAGTATGAAGAAGAGCACTCAGCATGTAGTAAGGCATGAAAATGACGATCTTGTTTTATTGAAAAACGAAAAGCGACACCAAACGAAGTTGGATCCAACATTTAAGGGACCATTTCAAGTTGTGCAATTGCTAGATGGTGACCGATACTTGTTAAAATCATTAACAGTTGGACGAGTATATAAATATCAACATGATAGTGTGCGTAGTGTACCTAAGGTTCGAGAGATTTTGAAGTTGGCGGAAGAGCTTGACGACGGCAAGGGTCGTCAGCTAGACGAGTGTATAAATATCTACATAATAGTGTGCGTAGTGTACCTAAGGATCGAGAGATTTTGAAATTGGCGAAAGAACTTGACGACGGCAAGAGAGTCGTGCGTGCAAGCAAAATATCTGTGACCTAAGAGGGGCGCAGAGGAGAGAGATTTTATGCAGAAAAGAGCGTACTACTCTGGATTGTATGTGAGTAGCGTGCTAAAATGTTGTTTTGATGATAAATGAATTGGCAACAAGATGATTGAGCTTGAGCGGAAGAGAGTCTGTATTTTAAAAGTTGTAAAAAGAGGGAGTTATCCTGCTAAGCTAATTGTTGATGGGTATCCAAGTGGTTGGGTTTGTACGAAAGAGAGTTTGTACTCTAGAGAATTTGAGAAGTGTTATCCCGTCAAACTAACGCGTAAAGGCACAATGGGTGCACTTGAATTTGTCTTCAAGAGTAAATAGGATATGTAATTATAAGAGTAAAGAGGATCATAAATAAAGAGATTGGTAACCAAGTTTCACGACATATTTTGTATTGGGCAGAGCAACACAAGGACGTGTTATAGTCAGAAAGGCCGTGTCGGAAATAGGTATAATAATGAGCAAAGTCGATGCAGGAACAAAGGGAAAGGGGGAATGTTCCTTGTAAATGAGGAACTGCGAGTAGATTTCAATAGGGCTAGAGAGGAATCTAAGGAAAGTATGAATAAGAACACTCAGTATGATAAGGCTATAATAGATAAAAAGCATGCTCATGTCGTAAGGCATGAAAATGGCGATCTTGTTTTATTGAAAAACGTAGAGCGGCACCAAACGAAGTTGGATCCAACACTTAAGGGACCATTTGAAATTGTCCAAGTGCTATATAGTGACCGATACTTGTTCAAATCATTGACAGCTAGGCGAGTGTATAAATATCTACATGATAGTGTGCGTAGTGTACCCAAGGTTCGAGAGATTTTGAAATTGGCGGAAGAGCGTGACGACGGCAAGAGAGTCGTGCGTGCAAGCAAAAGATTATTGACCTTGAGCGGAAGAGAGCGTGTACTTTAAAAGTTGTAAAAGGATCGTCGTTGATGGGTATCCAAGTGGTTGGGTTTGTACGAAAGAGAGCTTGAACTCTAGAGAATTTGAGTAGTGTTATTCCGTCAAACTAATTAAAGGCACAAGTGCCTTGAATTTATCTTGAACAGTAAAAATGATATGTAATTATAAGAGTAAAGAGGAGCATTAATAAAGAGATCGGTAACCAAGTTTCACGACAAATCTTGTACTGGGCAGAGCAACACAAGGTCGTGTTATA